AAAATTAAAGACTCTGATTTTACTTACCCTCTGCAAAGTTCTGATCATAGATTCGAGGAGGAGTACACATCTCGTAATTCAAACTCATTGGGTATGCATGAGGAACGGTGCGGTCGGCCATTTTGATCTCTGTAGCAGGTTGCCAAGATAACTGGAGAATTTACTGGATTTACAGACTTTAATTAGGCTACTCTGACGTTTGCCGTGTGATAGAAGCAGGAAGTATAGAAAAGAGAGAGGGGCGGAAAGAACAACGGGGGAACCGAGAAGAGAGACTGCGCACTTGAGACAGGAGGGAGAAAAATGTTGCTACAAATAGCTTGTAGTAAACTCTGTGGAGCTGCATAGCCAACATGTAAATAGATATACACAAACACAGGGTGAATAGTGATGGACTCACAAAGCCAAACAGTTTAACAGCTGGTCATAAGTTCAAAAAACTGATTAATATTGTAATTAAAAAATTATTTTATTTTAAAATTGCTTTTGTTTCTAACTGAATGAGATAAACATAATATTGTAATAACACAGTAATACTGTGTGTATTTATCAAACCACTGAATAAAATGATATCAAATCAAGTGAAAACTGTAAAATATATACAAAAATATAATACAGATTAAATTATTATTATTATAACTCAATTGAGTTTGTTCCCATCTTTGATTTCAGAATGAGGACATGATTCCATCAAATATCTCTACAACCGGTGAAGGTCCAACTCTCTGGAAACCCAACTCAGACAATAAAGAGAAAATGCTCACGGTCCATCCAGTATAGAGTATTTTGATTTACCCTTATTAGCTGATAATACAGATTATGTTCATAAACGACAAATTTATACCGTCTCCTCTCTGAGAAACCCTCAGACTGAAATCTACACTGACTGATGTTTTCAGACTGTTGAGAAACTAGGGATCAGGTGTTTTTTTCATTCTCACCTGAAATGAAAAGTATTGGGAGAAATCCATTTCATAATTCATTACATATTCAACATTCATTACAGTTCAGTTCTGTCTTTCTCCGCCCCCTGGCTGGTTTGTTTCTATGGTGTTTGATTGATTGTTACTGTAGTTCAGTTCAGGTGTGTCTTGTTAATTTGCTCTTCAGTTCTGTCAACTTAAACCATGTGTTCTGACTTGTTCTATCAGCTCTAAACGTTACATGTAGTTGGTTGTCCTGTTCCTGTACCTGTGATCCTTTGAGTTAATCTTTAAATAAAGCTGCTGCACGTGGATCCTGTTTCATTCTTGCTGCAACCCATTGTAACACATACATTATGTAATCACATTACTTTTTGATGTAACTGAAAATTACATTCTAATCACACCAATACATTTATTTGCAGCCAATTAAGTTTCTGCGTCATTAAGAGGAGAAAAGTGCTCTGTGGGGGCCCCGCTGGGCATTACTGGTGTAGCACCACCCCAACACAGTACGCACGACGCTCTACGTCCCTGGGCTGGAGGTCCAGTTGCACCGTAAACCAACTCAATCTCTTCCACCTCATATAGGGGTATACTGGAAGAGATTTTGATGGAGAGCGGGAGAGTCTTCACTCCGATGAGGCGAGTGAAGAAGTAAGTTACTGCCGAGAATATTGGGCTTGCACCGTAAACCAGCTCAATCTCTTCCATCTCAGATAGGGGTATTACTTTATTTTATTTTTACTCTTAACTGTTTTTATTTATATTGATTGCATTTACTGAATGAGCACTGTGCCACTGTTCGTCCGACTGTACTATACATTTTATTTTTCGACACTGTATTTTATTTTTATTATTATGATTTTTTTCTAAACTGTTTTAATTATTCTGACTTCTTTTGATTATTTTAATTTCTTCCATGTAAAGCACTTTGAATTGCCACTGTGTATGAAATGTGCTATATAAATAAACTTGCCTTGCCTTGCCTTGCAGATGAAGTATTTTCAAGAACAACAGTCACAGTAATAGTTATGAATGGGAGCTGGAATTGATGCATGATTAATCATAATTTCCTCCCAATCTAAAATCAAAACTTGGAAAATGAAACAATGATACGACTCCTTGGATATTACAAACATTTCTTGACCTGCAAGAGTCACGAATAGAAGGAATGGATGGGTATTCTGGAGCAACTTGGTATCTCTGACTAACTGGCGGCCATCTTTGTCTGTAGAAGAAAAGAAAAAAATCCCCATACATTGGTTTTCCACTTGGTGGCAGTGTACAGGATGATGCATAGTGTCCACTGTACTGGTTGATGTGCACCTTAAGCCTCGTTCACACATGATTTTAAAACGTCGGGCTGAACTGTGCGGTTCACTACATGACTTACTCTCTGTAAAATCAGGAGTGTTGAAGTTGTTTAGCTGTTCACACCACACAACAGAACGTGATTGATCCACAACAGGAGGTAACGCACTACACGAGTTGACAACGCACTACATAGAGACACAACCACGATCGGATGATCATTTGTGACTCTGATAGCTGTTTTAGTACTATGGTACGGTCTAAATCCTGAAAATAATCAAATAAATAACTAGTTGACAACAACTCTGTCACCCAACGATTCTATCTTGTCTACAAACCACGTTTTGTCGCGAAAAACCACGCAATAAAACAAACCAGAATTGACGTGAAACAGCATATGCGCCAATACCCAGCGAAGAAGAGAACACAACACGTGAATATGGACGTCAGACAGAAACTAGTGCTGCACACTGTTTGCGCGACGATCTGCTCTGACAAAAAAATGCAAAAAAAAGAAAAAATAAGATTTACCCGGTGACCTCAACCCATGCATTGCTATGATTGGCTGTACTCATGACATCACTGAGGTTGAGTCACGCGACAGCTCTGGATATCTAGCATGCTAGATATTTTTCTGGGCTTGGCGACGCATCTGCGAGGCGTCTGCTGCGAGCGTCTTCGTTGCGTTGGCTCTTTCATACTAACAGATTGGCAAGCGTTCATCGCCCGCTAATCCCCCGCGATTTGCACGCGATAACACCCTGACCTGTCAGCGATATCAAAGATTTGCAAATCGGGCTTAAAATCCTGTAGTGTGAACTTGGCATAAGCCATCAAAACCCATGCATGCGCAAGAAAAAGGCTTTTTTAATATAGCTCTCCACTCTAGTGTCCTCTTACCGTGAAAGTGTTAAAGAATCATTCAAAACAAAATATTATAGTTTCCTCCAAAAAAAAAAAAAATTAAGCAGAACATCTGTGTGGTGAGCAGGACGGCCGAGGGACGTGAGAGAAAGTCGCGAGGCCGGTGTTGCGATTGCTAATGAGCAGCACCTGCGAAGCACACCGGTCTCGCATCTCTCACGAAGGAGCGGAGCCATAAAGGGGGAGCGACGGAGTGGATGATCGAGAGAGGAACAGGCCTGCTTTTGTTTGTGGTTCATATTTTATTTGGTAAGCCAGCAGTCGTCCGCGAGGGGCTGCTGGCCGGTATTTTATATTTTATTTTCGGTAGCCAGCAGTCGTCCGTGAGGGGCTGCTGGCAGGTATTTTGTTTGTTTATTTTGTTTAAATAAAGTTTTATTTTTCATTATTATCCGGTTCCTGCCTCCTTCTTCCCTGAACTTTGTTACATTGGTGCCCGAAACCCGGGAAGAGGGAGGAACGCGCTGTCCGAGGGTCCTCGCCGCTGTGGGGAATCCGCGGTGCCATCGAGCATGGTGCGCGAGTCGCCGCCGCTCGCCGTGGGCCGGAGCCTGCTGCCGTCCGCCGCAGATGGGGAGGAGCAGGGAGCGGGGGACTCGCGGCCATGGACGCTCGAGGTGGGGCGCTGGGGTGAGTTGCCGGTGGGACGCCCGAGCTCGCCGCCGACCGCCTGGGAATGGAGGGGCGGCTGCCTTCCGGGAGGGAGAGGAGGAGTCACCGCCGCTCGCCGTGGGCCGGAGCCTGTTGCCATCCGCCAGTGAAGGGGAGGAGCAGGGAGCGGGGGACTCCTGCCGTCTGCCCAAGGCACCCGAGGAGCCGTCGCCGTCCACCGGGGCGGGGGAGCGTCGAGGCGTTCACCGAGGGCCATCCAGCGTCGCCGCCGGGCACCGCGGAGGAGATCGCCCAGCTGGTGAGGGACAAGATGGCAGCGCGTTGTGGGAGCCGGACTTTTTTTTTTTTTTTTTTCCTCTCTCCCCTCTCTCGTGTCCGTCGCTCCTCAGGCTTCCGTCTCCGTTTCCCTCGGCTCGTCGATCCATACCCCCCAGGGATCGCCGCCGCCGGGGGGGGAAGTAGGCACAGTCTCGGGTGTACCCCCCGGCCTGTGAGGGGTGATGGGGGTATGTGGTGAGCAGGACGGCCGAGGGACGTGAGAGAAAGTCGCGAGGCCGGTGTTGCGATTGCTAATGAGCAGCACCTGCGAAGCACACCGGTCTCGCATCTCTCACGAAGGAGCGGAGCCATAAAGGGGGAGCGACGGAGTGGATGATCGAGAGAGGAACAGGCCTGCTTTTGTTTGTGGTTCATATTTTATTTGGTAAGCCAGCAGTCGTCCGCGAGGGGCTGCTGGCCGGTATTTTATATTTTATTTTCGGTAGCCAGCAGTCGTCCGTGAGGGGCTGCTGGCAGGTATTTTGTTTGTTTATTTTGTTTAAATAAAGTTTTATTTTTCATTATTATCCGGTTCCTGCCTCCTTCTTCCCTGAACTTTGTTACAATCTGTTTTCAACACTGTTAGCAATAAGAAATGTGGAGGACCAGAGAGCAGTGGAAGGTCCGCAAGTCCTCAGCGGAGGTGAAGCAATGTCTGACCTCGGTGGAGTCGACATACAGAGGGAGTCCGGAATGGCAGATGGTCCACACAGAAGTCAAGGGTGTAAGGAGCGCAGGTGCGGGAGAAAGGGCGACAGGTCGAGGCAGAACGTAGCGCACCAAGGCTGTAAGCAGACCCTTAGGCCGTGTGTCCACCAAAGCGTTTTTCCACGCGCCTGGCGTATGTTTTCAATTGTTTTCAATGGGAGCGCCGCGTTTTTTAAACGCCACGAGCGTACCGAGGCGCTGAGCGTTTTTTTCCACGCTGAAGCGCCGAGCGCCCGCCATTTTTACTGGTCGCTGGGAGTGGAAAAATGTTCAACTTGGATAAAACGCAGCACTCATCACTGTCACTTTTTATTCATCCGTGCAATCATAGTGGAGGAGAGGCGGGACTAAACCACACTGACCAACTGTTACAACATTCAAACTGTGTTGCGGATATTCTGTATCATAGCAACGAAACATCTCAACGGAAAAAACGCTGCGCTGCCAAAACGCTCTCAAGCGCCCAAAGCACGGCGTCTTCAGCAGAGCGTCTAGCGTTTTCAGCTGGCAAAAAACGCTTTGGTGGACACACGGCCTTAGACTGAAGTTCTATGCAGAAACAAAAAAAAAGTGTTCTGAATAGTTTGGGGAGGTGGTGGGAGAGGAAGGCTGGGCAGGGCGAGTGGGACTGACAGGTTCAGGAATCAGTACAAAATAAAACTTAAAAAGTGTCCTTGCCAGAAATACACTCTTTGTAGCAGGGGGTGGGCAGGACTCACTTCTGAACCCTCAACCTCAACGTCCACCAGCACTCCCTCAGCGATGGATGGCTTGGCCGGTCAAGTGTGCGCTGATCATGTTCTGTGGCGATGTGGTCCTCAGTCACTCTTGTGGGCGCAGGCTCCTTCATCGAGGCGGTCTCCGTAGCGCTACCTGCGGTGGGCTCAGCTCATCGATCCTCGCCGTCCTGGTGGTTCTGGCTGGGCACTGGATGGGGAGTGGGGCTGGCGGCATCCTCGACGGTGAACACAGATCCACACAATCCACATATGTTGTGGAGCTCCCTCGAGGGCGGCACTGATTCTGACATCCAGCAACGTGCACAGACAGTTATCCGGGAAGGTGATCTGATGGGCGAGATCCAAAAATTCTTCAAAGTGTTTTTTGAGGGAGCATTCTCCCTGCTCAAGGCACACGAGTTTAACTGCTGGAAAGTTCGTGATGCAAGCAGGGGTGAAAAATGGCACAAAAATACTGAACACTGAAAACATATTCAATAAATCCCGCATTCAAATTTGTTTGGTCCAGTATTATGTCACGGGTAGTTGCTGGCCGACAGATGAGGACGATGTATATGAAGATCCAACAGAAAGGCAAACATAGAGCAACACACAATTAACATAGACAATGACAGACACTGAAAAGAGAGAGACACTGTCAGCATCCTGCCTCCTGTTGTCCTTCTCCGGGCCTCTAGAGGTCACCTGTGTTCCCTTCTGTCTTAGTTCCTCCTCGTGCATCCTTGTTAGCTATTATGCTGGTCACCTGTGCCTTGTTTCCCTTAGAGCATTTTAGCTGTGTTTTTCCCCTTGTTCCTCACTCGGTTTTTGAGTCTTGGCTATGTGATTCCTGCTGTGATTCTCTGTGGTCTTCTTAGTTACCAAGCAATCCCAAGTAAGCTATAGACCTTATTCAGAGCGCCGCCATGACAGGTATGAAAGTGAGGCTGTGAGGGATAGACTTAACGTGTTTCCAATGGCATCCGGTGTAAAAAGCTGAATAAAGCGGCTAGATTACTTACATTTTTCCACAGCTTACATTGTCGGGAGTTTTTTGTCAACTGACATTTCTTGGAAAGATATTTTTCCAGTGTTCCATGAGCAGAACAATCCGAAAACACAGTACAAATAACAGTACAGCCCATTGAAGAGATGCAAGTCTATCCCTCACAGCCTCGCTTTCATTCTCATTAAAAATCAAAGATGGCGCTGCCGTGAATAAGGTGTATTCGAGTTAGTTTTTCTCCCCTCGTGGAGTTATTTTATTTTTCTCCTGTTATTGTTTGCATTATATCTTCTACTAATAATTCCTCTTTCTGAGAAGACCTTTTGTTGGATTTTTGACTTGCAAAGTACCCTTTTTTTAATAAATCTACGTTGCCTGGAGTATTGCCTTGAGTGTTTCGTTTGGGTCCAACACTACCTCCTTTGTGGTTAAGTGGTCGCCTGGAGTATTGCCTTGAGTGTTTCGTATGGATCCAACACTACCTCCTTTGTGGTTAAGTGGTCGAACATTCAACTCTCCACTCCAGAGACCCGAGTTCGAGCCCAGCTTGTGACACGCACTGAAACAGAACCGAACATATATATACAGGTGTTAATGGTGACTGATGAACGTGATTAGTGTTCTTGACAACAACTGAGTGATGAAGGCAGGTGATGACGAAACAACGAATCCAAACTGACGTGAATGTGCCAGCAGTTATTTTAATTTGGAATAATATTTCACAAGATTACAATTTTACAGTATTTTTGATCAAATAAATGCAGCCTTGGTGAGAATGAGAGACTTCTTTCTAAAACTTCTAAACTCCCAAAAATATTTAAAAATCTTACCAACCCAAACTTTGGAACACTAGTGTGAATCAAATAGTCACCAAGTTCAGCATTCGTGCCCCCCTCCCCCTCCCAAGCTCATTATATTAAAGTAAGTCCAAGGAACAAAAAAGGGAACCACCTCCGCAAAATGGGCAGAAAATGTATAACTACAATCCTTTGCCTATGTTTAGAGAACATTCACTTACAGCACAGTAGCTAAAACTGCTTACACCTTCAAAATGATTGTCCAATCAGCGTGCCAGCTCAAGTAACGTTGTCCGCGTACGTTGTCCAGGCAGGCGGTTGTTCATGGGGATTGACTTTGTATGGTGTTTAGCCTGGCACAGTTATCTCAGCCGCATTCACTGTCAAATCCTGTAAAGACTAAACCCCCAATTGGGCTCAGAACCTAAATATGCATGGGCACATCACCTCTGGGGCATCCTAATCTTTGCTGGCATTAAACAGACCAGCGGAATGGCGAGCAACCAAAGACTTCTCTTGATAATGGCATGTTTGCTGGAACAGACAGTGCAGTTTCCAGTGCTGTGAACATAGGGTACCATCAGCACTATTCGGGGCTTGCACTGTAATCCAGTTGGTATCTGAGTGAATTGAAATCTGATAAGCTCTTTAGATAACTGCAGTGAGAGATGGTTGAAAGAGGGGACGGGGTAGCAAGCAGAGGACAGTGGGAGGGCCGAAGTGAAAGAGGCAAAGGCAGGCAAACAGTTTACATCATTATTCCAGAAAGATCCACAGCTGGCTCGTCTGCCAGGGGCCGTCGGTGTCGCTCTATTTAAGTGCGCAGGCATAAGAGCCAGCAGTTTTCTGAGTGCTGCTAAGACCCAGACACAAAATGGACATCGCCATCCATCATCCATGGTTCCGTCGCTCCTTCTGGCCATCCTTTTTATCCAACCGAGTCTTTGACCAGCACTTTGGGGAGCCCATCTCTGAGACCGATGTGATTCCCTCACTGTACTACCCACGACCTTTCTTTCAGCGCTGGCCAAGCTGGGTGAGCGGTGGCCTTTCTGAGGTGAGCTGGAAACCTTCCCAGTCCATTTTTTTTTTAACTTTGTGGTTAATTAAGTGTGTAACATTAAAATTACTATAGTTGAAAGAATGTCTAATTTGTTAAGTCACTATTGCAAAATAAACTGGGTGACCAGGACCCAGACACAAAGTGGAAGGGCTTGTATCAACCTGAAGGGTTTTCATCTCCGATAGTTATATAAGCTCTGAGCAGAGTCATAAATGAACACTGAAGCAGTGTTAAAGTTAATGAGATGATTAAGTGAATAATTGAGTGATAATTGAGCATTATTGAACAAGCAGAACCACTAAAGGAGAAAACCATAATTTTAAGGTGATCAGTGTTCACTTTATTTGGGCTCTTGATCCTTAAATCATGAACTTTATATTTTGTTTGGCTGCTGTACATGAGTAACAGTATTTCACCCTAAAAATCTGTGAAGCCTGTTATGTGAAACTATTAAGGTTTTATATTGAGATACTGTAATATTGTAATGTTGAAAACAAAACATCTGAAATGGTCTGAAAAATATACAGTATTTATATATTTTTATTTGCTTTTTTTTAAATAATTGGGAACATCAGATTAGCTGAGAGAAATTATAAAATTAGTGTCTTTAATTGTTTCCTTAGATGACTATGGAAAAAGATCGATTCATTCTACATCTGGATGTCAAACACTTTTCACCAGATGAGCTGTCAGTGAAAGTCAATGGAGATTTCATTGAAATTCACGCTAAACATGAGGATCGTCAGGTAGTACTGCGACGCAATACCTAAACCAGTGCCATGTGACTGGCTTTATTGTTTAAAATCCACATGTCATCACCAAGATCACTGGCCTTGTGCCACAAGTAAACATTGAGTTAAAGAGTGAAAGATGGACCATTTGTTATCACCTGCTCATAACGACGTTGTGCTTTCATTTCAGGACGATCACGGTTTTGTCTCCCGGGAATTTTTAAGAAAATACCGTGTCCCTGCTGGTGTGGATCCAGCCTCTATCACTTCTTCCGTGTCTTCAGATGGCGTTCTGACGGTGACAGCCCCACGCAAGCACTCGGACGGCCCTGAGCGCACCATTCCTATCACCCGTGATGACAAGCCCACCCTGGCTGGGCCTCAGAAGAAGTAAAGCTGCTAGACTTCCATGTTATGTCCCTTGTCTTCCCCTGTCCCATTGTGCTCCTGCTAAATTACAAGGGAATAACTTACTGACAGGCCAAAATGGCTATGTTGACTTTGCTAAGGCTGCAAGAGAAACAAACAGATATTAGGCTGAAACTCCATCAACATCAAAACTGTAAACAGTCTCAAAATGATAAACGATTTTCAGAGAAGTACAGTTTTACAATAAAGTATTGTTTGCTGCTGACGCCACAAAGAGGCTTTTGTATATTATCTTGCAGGCTTGACTGCAAGACAAAGTGTTTGAGAGTAGGAGGAGTATTTGTCATTGGAATTTTTGGATTGGAACAAAGACAAACAGGCAATAATAGGTCATTGTGTTAAACTGAGATGACAAAAAAAAAATCATTATGTGTGATTCACTGCACACCTATTTAAAAGGGTGAAAAAAATGAATCTGTTCAATCAATGTACGTTAAAATTATTTGTTACATCCAGATATCATAATTGTTTTGTTGTTGTTTGAAGTAAAGTTTATTTTTGAGTTAATAATGGATTCAGGACCAGAGTATACACATAAAGGCTAGTTGGAGCCCGATCTCATGAAAGTTCGTATCTATAGCACGAATGTCATTTCTCGTGGCATTTATATGTCAAAAACAGTTTTTGCGTGTATATGGTACGCGTTTTTCGCCTGCATATGATACGCACTTTTTGGCGTATAATACGCACGAAATCCCCATTTCGTATAAATGCCACGAGAAATGCATTCGTGGTATAGATACGCATCTTCATGAAACTGTGTCACCCTGCACAGACAAACACATTTGTTGGGTTTTGTCTGATCAGTGTGTTAAACTTGTTGGCGTCTGTTGGGGTTTGTTTTCACCCGACCGAACATGTTCAATCAGCATTTGTTTGTGAACATGGCAGTTATTTTACATAAAATTCTACACCCAACTATCAATTTGTTTGTTGCCGTTTGTCTGTGCGGTGCGAAACGGCCTTAAGGGGATGTGGAAAATAAAAGTTATTGAAAAGTGACGGTATTTCATTGATTGGACCTGATTTGTAAGTGTTGATGGCACATGCATGGCCATTGCTTCACATTTTAAAGATAATCTATGTAACTTTTGGCCCTCTAGCTGTTAAAAAAAACAAAACTCGCATGCATTTTGCAGAGGAACATTGTTTTGGATTAATTGGATTAATGTGAACTCTGTTAGAGAGCTACAAACGGCAGTTTATCTGTTCAATAAAATACCTTGCTCACCTGTTGATTAATAAAAACGCCATCTCCGCGTCACTTTTACAACATTTCAAATGCCTTAGTTCTCGCCATCTCCAACAAAACCCAATGTTGATTCTGGTTTTATTATGAGCTTTTTTGAGTTCATTTTTTGCCAGCAGACTCTACTCTGTTCGGCGTTTTTTTTTTTTTTTTTTTTTTTTAGGAGTGTTTCTCTGGAGTTTGGAGATTTAGCTGCTCCCTGTTAACTGCTCAGTGACAACTAACCTACGTCACTCCCACACCATTCATGCATCAAAAAACCCGGAGGAACTGTTATCCATTTACGGATAGACAAGCACAGGCAAGTGGCATATGTACGCAATTTCATTGGTACACAAACCATCTTGACCGGTCTAAAACAATAGGGTTACCACAGTGAATTGGGGTAAGAAGAAAAAAAAAAGTTTTGAGAGGAGGATTGATATTATTTTAAACAAAAAATAATTACATAGCTTTCTCATGACAATAGCAGGAGCAGATCTTTAAAACCCAGGCTCAAATGGAGTTCTACTGTAAACCTTTCAAATAAAAATATAAAATAATGATATATAATGTTAAACAGGTTAGCATGGTACATGGTGACATGTTGCCAAGAACAAAAAAAAAATTAAAATGATCGTCCGATGTGGTGGGAATGGATCATAAAACATTCATTAATGCAAGGTTTTGAAAGCATGTTGTCTAAAAGGTCAACTGTTGGTCCCCAAAATAATTTGAGAATGAGATGTGCGCTGGGTGTTTGTGAGTGTGAATAAGTGCCAAGAATTTATATTGTTTGCAGTCACTGAGACTATTTGGTTTCTTAGCAATGGCTCACTTATTCAACAACGGCAAAGCTGCTAATAGCAAACTAGATCAGTCATTTTTTGATATGGAAAACTAACATAAGCAGGCTCAGACGAGGATGTAGAAAACCTCAATAAACACCTCAATGCTTCAAATGCCTAAACTACTGTATTATCCCCAATAGGAGGTATAATTGAGAAGCTTTTTAAAACATGGCGTTGCTCTTTTTATGGCTTACATTCCTTATTAATCACAGCTAACACACTGAATTAACTTGTTAACATCACGAAATATGAATTAATAAATATTGTGGACTCTGTTCAAAACCAGTGTGACTTATTTTTTTCAAAATTATTTTTTTCAACAAACTATTTGACAAACGATTAGTAGTCATCGGTGGTTTTCAACCCCCATAATAATAATAATAATAATAATAATAATAATGATATCTAGAGAGTACAGCTGATGTATACAATGTATAATTCAGTGAATGGAAGCAAATGATATATGCACAAAATTGCTGAATTAAACACGTGAGATTTACTGGATTCACACAAATATTAAAAAAGAAAAGAAAAGAAAATCCATTGATAAGGATAATCTTGGTAGACTTTCTCATGCATGGCTGGTCATCTTTTTTACACAGTTATCTTTAAATGTTAATACATGTAAAAATGATCAAATATTTTAGAATGTATCAGGATGGAAGATATTTGATATGCCACTAAAAAATACAGTATGTTGAAATTTTAAACTCATTTTAAACTCAAGTATAGGTGCTTACTAAAATTATTGACTTTACACCATGAATCGAGGTAAATCAGCAAGTGCAATATAATTAAGATGCAAAAAAATCTAACCTCAAAATTATGGGAAATTAATCATCATGGGTTATGTAGGCTATAACATGATTATACAAGAAAAAAAAATAGACACATGCTTCAGAAAAATTCAACAAATCAATACTTGACTATGGATCACTCACAGAAGTCAGTGATATTGAAGCTGATTTCATTTAAGCAGGGTTGTTATCCGCACTGTGGCTCTGAAGTCTCCTCTGTCTTTTCTTCTCTATGTTGAGGGCCTGTGAAGTCCAGTCTGTTGCAGGAGTTTGGCACACACTTAGTGTGTGGAGGGTTCAGTTCTGGTTGGTGGCCAGGGAAGCTTCTTGACTCTCTCTTTGGTGCTGATAAAGTGGAAATACCAGGGTCTTAACATACGGATTATTATTTGGTTGAATTTAAAAAAATGATCAAAATTTACATAAATAATAAAGTATATTTAAGAAAACCTACTTGAGTAAATCGGCCGAACATCAGGTTTATTGTAGCTGGAATAATATGTGGTTTCAAAATAGTGAGAGAACTGTGAGGGGGAACAAATTCAGTGTTATTTCACCGTTGAGCACAAAATAGAAGATTTGGACTAAATCGCTTAATTCATACGGATTAGTTTTTTATAACCTCTTTATGAACTTTTTGAAGCGTCAAAGTAGTTGCTTAGCTTTCAGCAGAGGAATTGAAAACTCTCAGATTTCATCAAAAAGATCTTCATTTGTGTTTCGAAGAAGAACGAAAGCCTCATGGGTTTGGAGCAACATAAGGATGAGTAATTCATGACAAAAAAAAATCATTTTTGGGTGACCTATCCCTATATGTAACAGTTAAAAATGCATATTACAATAGCAAACCAAGTAAGCTATCATTCAAGATAGCTTTCACATCCAAAATTTTACATTTTTAAGTTTTAAAATGATTAAACAATCTATGTTCAATGTTAAAAATGAAGGGGAAAATGATGTGCCCTTTTTAGTGGAACATCTTATGATTAACCACACCTAGTAACAAGTCATTATTGTTTTATATTTAGCCTATCTGAAGCAATGAAATCCAAACATTTTAAACGTGACTTAGGTGAATATGTGTTGGTTTCACGGACAGGGCTTGTATTAAGCGCAGGAATAGGCCAATAGGGCACTGAGGTAAATTTTATAGGCCATATATATGTGCCTTAGAAAAGAAAACCTATGTGCAACTTGATGCAAACCAATGACACTGACGTATTTATGATATGTCAGTGCCAGTTTCTTTCAGTTAAATCAGCTCAAATATTCATTTTAGTCTGGAACTAGGCACCTTGTCTGTACGTCTATGGTTCTACCATGTTTTTTCCGTAACAAAACCAACCTGGTGCGGAAGGGGGCGTCGTAACGCCACAGTCCGGCGAGTGTCAAACCTCTCTTCCGACCAGTTACCGATGAGGGTTGCATTTGAATAAGAGTCTTCTTTCGTTGAGGATCGCCATCCGTACTGGTTGAATTTCGCCTCATCAGTAAAATCATACCAGACTTCAGATTGTCCAGAAGCCCGAAGCATCTGATGAAAAGCAGAGCTGTTTCTTATCCATGGAAACTCCATGTAGATATAGCCTATCGCCTGAATAGAGAATTCATTTTGAGAAATAAAAAAGATAAACGTTGTTTTTAACAAACTGCAACCACAGCAATATACAAAATGCCCATTAATAGTCAACTGTTTTGCTGACATTGAACAAAACTACATTTTTTTTCTGCCAAGTGATTTTATAGGCTAACTTTAACGTTACGTAGCATTCTTTTATAGTAGCCTAAGCAACATTTTCAACTGATTTTGAAATCAAATAATTATCACTAGCAGCTAATAGCCTAATGTTCTTGTTATAGACTACTTTTTATAATAAGTAACGGCCTAATAAATTTCTAATAGGCTACAACTACCCAGATAGCAACAAAGTCTGGGCCGAGTCTGGCTTATATTCGGCACTTCTGGCTTAATTCTGGCACTGTTTTTTTCACACTCTTGTGTCAAACAGTACTAGGCTAAGCTCTGGCTGGAGTCTGGCTAACCAAAAGAAACAAATCAAATTGTATCTGTTTGGCTAAGCTTTGGCTTGAGTTCGGTCTGCCAGAATAAGGAAATTTTTAAGCTGAAGGAATGTTCTTATATCAGTAAATTAGCCTAGAACACCTACATTTTGTGGAAGTCGCTCATTAACGTAGCCTACCAGTACGGCACATTACATTTTATTTACCAAGTTTGAAGTGAAATCAATACTTATTTGTAAAGATGCACTCACCTTGCTAAGAACGCCAAGCAGTCATGGTCTCCGTGGAAACGCACATGACGCAAACAGTATGGCAAGCCGTTTTGCTTAATTGTACCCCATACACTAGACCTCACCTTGGGGTTCTAAGCATGCGTCAAAACCGCCGCCATCTTGGAACAGGTGTCTTGTCATAGGAAATAGCTAGGTAATGCTGCTATCTCTGCCTTTACTTCGAATTCATTGATGGTGGCGGACTTTTGTGCAGCGTATGATGTTCACGGACGAAATCTGAACTAGGAAGAATGTTTTCTTTCTGGAATCAATGATAAATACATGTCTGACCGTTGGAAGTTCACAAACCAAAAAAACAAGAAAAATCGCATTCATGATGATTTATGGTGATTTTATTTCCGTTAGACCTGTGTCTACTACATTGACGCTGATGCATTAAAGTGGAGGGGCTCCCCTGTTTTAAGATGGCGGCTCTATTGACGCATTCGTTCCAATGAACTGCCGTAGCCAAGGTGAGGTCTAGTGTATATGTCTATGAATTGTACCCAGATTCGTAATTTAATTTTTACTAGTAAGAATTCAATTAGAGAGTTTTACAATTCAATTAGTACTTGTAGCAATTACAATAGGCCATATGCACGCATAAGTTCCGCATTTGACGCAAGGCTGGTCTTCAGTTTCCGGTTGGGGAGATTTAAAGCGGAGGAAAAGCGAGGAAAGCGGGATTATGGCAGAGTCTTCAAAATGTACTGTCCTCCCGTCTTTGAAACAAAATTTTAATAAGTTTAGATGTAATTTTATATATTGTTATGTTTATTTAATATAATAAACAAAGAAGCATAAACAAAAAGTGTCTGTTTTTCCGTTTCATTAGAATAGCAATATAGTATAAAAACGAGTATAATTCTCGGCATAGCATTGAACTCTACAATCGGCGGAACTAATCCAGCATTAGACCTTCACCAGAAATACCGCTATGCATAGAGCCCATTAGAGAGCTCTCTAATTCAATAGGAAGGATTACGATAAGAGAACTCTAATTATTCGATTCTTATGGTGCGTTCACGTGCTTTGGAAAATAGGATATTTTCCACTTGTGAACTGGTATTCTGTGTTGTTCGTTCAAGTGCTTTTGTTGTTGTAATGTGGTAAAAAGATGGAGATCCAGACCTGTTATTTAGCTAAAACTATTTTAGATTGCTTAAGTCATCTGCAACAGCAAGAAAATGATTTATCAAAACTCAAAAGGTAAATAATATGCTGTATATTTTCTAGATTATGAATAGTATATATTTTTACCATTCATGACTCCCGCAGTGATCTCCGCCATTTTGAAATGGTCAAAGGTTATCTCATCTTGGCAAAATATTCTACAAGTTGCCCAGTGGAAAATACCACATGAGGGGGTGTTCATACATTTTCCACGTCAGCTTTTGGTATTTACCATAATTACATGAAAGCACCATTACTAGAATGTATTTGCAGAGCGCTTTAATTTAATGAGCTCTGCAAAGAATTGAAGAGCTCTCTAATTGTAATTCTTACTAGTAATTGAATTGTAGAGCTCTCTAATTGAATCCTTACTAGTAAAAATACAATTACAACGAGTAAGGCTGGATACAATTTAAGCTAATACGGCTTGCCATACAACCAGCGGTTACCTTACGACACTCTCATAGACTTCCATGGGGAAGTAACGCGTGTCGTGGCGCTAACAAAGTTCCAAACAAAGCATTAAATTAATTCCATTCATTTAATTTATTGTTTTTCAAGTGCACTGGTTGGTAAATAGTTTGTTGACATTTTAACGTATTAGTTGACCTCCCAGGAATAGAGTCATTATTTGTATCTTTATCGTTTGATAATAGATTACACTATCGCAGCTAGCTAACGTTAGCAACACTTGTAGGCTACTGTAGGCTACCATAGATGCTCTAGATTTCATGATTTTAAGTTTTATTGAGCCTTTCTGCAAATTGATTAGTAGCTATTCACTTATTGTGTATGATTATGCGAGTATCATAAAAGAACATTTGGGTATGATTAATTTAAAAGTTGAAATTTAACATGTTTTACGACAGCTCTGGATTACAATGCTAGAAACCAAATACTGTAGGCTACCTGCTGCTAAAGACTATCAAGATCATTGAAGCCAGATGCAATCATTTCCTGGTTGAGTAGTAATTGATTTTCTCTTTATTTCCCATTCAGAACTTTCCTTACTAAAGCATCAGGCAATACTAAGAAACACTGATCACATGCAAGAGAAGCAGCCATGTAGTTTTATTCAAACTATTGCATCAATAAGCGTTTACAGTCTACAGTCACTGTTCTGTGTGTTTTCCTTATCTGAATAGTTGAGTAGCGTAGAGATAACAAATGTAGTGAGACACCATAAAGTGCAGAGTGGAATCAAGAATCATGTTTATATTCGAAGCAGCATACAATCCTAATAGCAGTAGAAATCCCATTTCTGAAAAGCAAAAAAAAAAAGAATATAAATTATGTATTAAAACTCATGAATTAAAATTCATGTAATTGTTGGTTTTGTTGATCATAACATAAATAAAAGATTCATATACACACATCAGTCTTAACCTCGACCTCAGCAGGCATTAAAGCGTGCGTCTCTTCAACAACACTGCTGGGGAAGAATCCCAGACGAGCCTCCTGCTCTCCATAATACGACCCTTGGACCTTCACAAACAGTTATCTTCTGTTACACTTTGTGTCTTCATTTTCAGAGGGGAAAGCATTTGTTTTTGCACACAAGACAATCGTGGATTTGAATGCTGTGATTAAAATACTGCAATAGAGATGTTCAAATCGGCCTTGTTTGGCTATAGTGTACTTACACTGCCAGCCCAGAAGAGGTTCCCACGGTCTTTCAGCATGGCATACACATATACAGACTGGCCTTGCTGGATGGGAATGAAGCGACAGTCTTGCGGGTAATAATCCTGCAGAGCTCTAGCGATGAGAATGGGATCTGTGAAAACACAACCAGATGTTTAGTTGACACAATCTCCTACAGTCAGTGTGACATGCTCCTTTAAATCTATTCACTGTAAAAAATAAATAAATAAATAATAATATGATGAAGTCATGGCAACTGGTGGTTTTCTGCTACTGGTTTTCTTGTGATAAATTGTTTTCTATTACGTAAACTCATCAAAATAATTTAAGCAATTTCATATTTTTTCTATAAGTTAAACAAGATTTAAATAATTTTTCAGGTCAGTTTAATATAGTTTAAGTTGAAAAGTTAATTATACTAAAACATTAAGGCAGCAACTGAACTTAAATTTTTAAGTTGAAATAGTTAAAAAATAGTTTAGTTTTGGTTTATAATTTTATTGTTATATTGTTGTTTTATTGTTTCATGTACCTCATATTAACTGTGATTTGAAATACTAGAAGTATTTAAGTAAACACAAAAAACTATAAAAACTAAAAATGATGAATCATTTGATCAGTATCTTAACATGTACACTTTCCCTTACAACTTCATTTAAAATATAACAAAATGCAAAGGAAATAAATATGTCCATATTATTTGTCAACTATAAAATTAGAGACTAAACCAAATAGCTTTTTTTTCTTGTGCAACTGCCCCACATAAAAATTGAACAGAATGTACAGTATTTAAAGATATGGTAACAATTTATTGATTATTTTTAGGCGATATAATATTTATCATCATATTTTTCATAACAGTATTAATCTTTTTAAAATTAGTTTATAAAATATACAACTCTTGATTGTATTAATGTTTTGGTAAATGTTAACTATAGGATTAGTAAAGTATTATTCATTGTCAGTTCATGTTAACTAACAAGTGCAACCCTAATGTAAAGTGTTCCCAAAGTTACTTTGCAAAATAAAAAAATAAAAATAAAGTTAGCATTACTCACGGCTACACTCGGAATCGGCGCATAGCTTCTTGTCCGAGAGTTTTGGCATCTGCCTGCCGGCCTGAGAAGCCAGTGGCAGGAGGCCACACAGCACCAGGAGAAGAGTCCAGTTAGCACAGTGTTTCTCCATCTCTGTGTGTCTGATTCTTAGTTTATCTGAATTGGACTAAAGTTCAAGTGGGAGGGGCCCAGTTGAGGCAAAGCCCCTCCCCTTTTTAGAGTAACACTCTACTCAGATTAAATGTATTTATTTACATAGTACACAAGTGATTTAACTTATTTTTTACTGAATAATTTAAAAACAAAATGACTCATTGCAAAACAGACTTATCTAGTTAACAAGGTTTTCTTAGTCAAGATTCGGTGCAGGGCCCAATGCTGTAACTAGCTTCATTCAGGCTCTGCAAGACAAACATATAAAGTATAGAAAACAGGAAGCATTGCTGCAAGTTTAACAGGCTCTCACTTGTGTAGATATTACCAATCCTATCTGACTCTACACTCAGTTCATTGTTACCTAGTGAGGGACACAGCCAGGCCACAGGTCACATAGCGCCAAGTTTCAGAGACTGAGGCCTTTGCCAGGGTTTGAACAACCCGTCCTTTCAGTGGCAAAAATCAACACTCACTTTGATTCAAAACATTCCTTATAGTCTCTCTGAGCCATTTCCATATTCAGATCGCCTTAGAATATCATAATCAATCAAACAAAGCTCAATTTAAATTAGATTTATGTGAAATCTTAATCATCTCCATTCATGGCGATGGTTTGCCTGCAACAGAAGTGTGACGAAGTGGGTGATTTTAACCACAAAGTGGCAGCACTGAGCAGATTACATAACAGCCCCTGAATGGCTTCTTTAATGCTGAGAATTTCTACATCCGACACTGGAAATTACGCATACTTAACTTTCATAATACAACGTTCTAGATAGAGGACAGTTTCGTAATATTATTATACAATTATCTTTGAAGACTTAAGCATTTTGTATTTCAAATTATTATTAGCCTATTTTTTTTTTTTTAGTTTAGAGATGCAACTCATAAAAGTTTTAAAACCGAATTCTTATTTGATAATTTTTTAATCGTTTATATAAAGAGATATATAAAAATTTTAAAACAAGAATAAAACCATTGTAAATCTATTTAGATCAAAAATAAGACAAGTGACGTTCATACAGTGCTGGCCTGGCAGGGACAGGACCCGTTACGTTTGCAGACATTCCTTTACCCTAAAAGTCAACACAACACAATGCAATGCTTAATTTGAAATACAGATAAAATACCTGTGTAAAAATCAATATGGAATTTTTTTTTTCATTTACAAACGCGTGTGTACTACAGGGGGTATAATAAACAGGAAAAAAATAATAGATAAAATTAGATCATAGAAATAAACCTAAAGAAGATAAAAGTATATAAAACATGACGTTTTATTTTATTTTTTTTGCTGTGTCGTTTTCTGTACCACCAATAAACTAACAAATTATAAACTGAAGTTCTACAGCCTTGCTTACAGAACCGGATAGGAGGACAAAATGGCGAAATTAATCATATCGTATTAGATTACTGTGTGAGTAGAGATATAGTAGTAGATGTTTAACTGGAATTAGGCAGTGGGCCAGATTTGTCTGACGTTACATCCCTTACGAAAAAGAACTATAGTAATCATATGGCTATTAGTATTCTATAGTAGTGTATAATACGTCTGTGATGTTCTTTAATACATCTATATACTTCTAGGCTATGTCCCAAAATACTATAGCTATTCCTATAGGATTAACGTTACTATAATATTTTGTCCTAAAATACTACAAGATTCATTTAGTTGTTTTTCATAAGGGATGTCTCAGTCACATTAGCGTTATCAGCTGAAGGTTATCAGACTGCAGTCTGTGAGAATTCGGATAACTGTCAGCAAAGTCCCTCTGCAACTTCGTAGCTATACTAACTGATCACCGTTTTACAAAAGGATTAATAGTTTGGAGTGAAGCATACGTACAGTTGGTAAGTGACATGGTTTTATGGACTTATAGTAACTTATACGCAAGTTGATTGAGTAATAGGCTTGTGTTACCTAGGATTCAACCAGATAACAATAGTCTGGAAACGACACCTCCGGCCATTTGGTTGGGTCATTGACCCAGTTTTTAATTAAATAAGGGCAATCATAACCTATTACAGTTAATTTTGCAATGTACCGTTGCCGGTCGGCAGGCATAAATGACTCGCAATATGACATTTTTGTCATTCAATACATAGGATGGTCGCGCCGCTTTCCCCCACGCCGACCACGCCCCCCAACTATGACGCGTTGCCGACTGTATGTATGCTGTATTTTTTTTAGGTATATGTCAAATATAGTTTATTTTCTCCATATTTACTTTCATGTATAAAGTGTAGTATGTGTGTGTGTTTTATTTTTAGCACCAAACTATCTCACCTGTACGTCTGACGTCTGTGACACCTTCCCTGTTTGTTGCTACTAGGCTCCTCCTATTTAACTGATGACGCAATGAGAAGGTGTGGCTAAACGTTACAGCAGCGCTTCCAAGGCGACCAGTAGTACCTCCCTGTCACCTTTCCAGCTAAGTTTGAAGCAGGAACTTCTCAGGTAGGAAAACAAAGCATTACTTGTTCTAAATAGTCAATAGGGACATTTATACTATAAGCAGACGCTTTCTTACGTTAAAAGAAAACAATTTTTAATATAATACGTTCTTTCATTTTCTGAAGTCTTTCAATTAACGTTAAGCCTTTACTTGCAGTGAATTTGATACGTAGCCTAACGTTACTCTTTCTGGGTTGTTTTAATTACACGACACGACTGTAGACTAATGTTGTAGTTGATTCAATAATTACAATGTCATAAAATTGGCTTTACAATAAGACATTATGTTAATAATAACTTTAATAAAACTTTAACTTGAGGTTCTGGTTTATGACATTCATGCTTCCTCCATTAGAGAAGAAGCCTGCTTTTCCTCTCCTTCCCCCCACACACTTTTCACCTATGCTACATATAATGTAATGGTGGTGAAATATCGGCATTTTAGATTTAAGGAGGTCAGCGTCACCTATGTCTCAGACACCTGTGTGCCTGTTTAGCCTAAAACCTGTTTAGCCAATTGTAAGGGGTGTAGTCACTGGGACACTGAGGAGTCTTGAATGACTACTGGAATGTGAGAGAAACACTAACACTTTGTTATGTTGGTCATGTCTACAAAAGAAGCTCCTTGACAATAGAAATGCTCCAAGGTAGTTCTGTATAATGTGTTGTTTATAAGGAAGGACTCGCATGTGTAGGGAAGAAATCCAAGCTCTTTACAGTCCAGGAGGATTAGATTTTATAAATGAATACACCTATCAGTATCTACATTGTGTCATACATTTCAAGGTGAGTTCCAACACAATTGTCACCTGTTCCAACATGTTTTTGTCCATAGGGAGAATTATTATACGGAAGATTGTAGATAAAGCAAACAATAAATTAACTAATGATTCCATTCTTTCAGCCTCAGTACACCCTACATGTGACACACACTAGGGTTGATCCATTTTTAAAGGTTAACGTACACAGTTCACATGACAGAACATAACAGGTGTCAGGTTCACACATTGTTTTTTACTTTTTGTTACTTTAAATCCAGGCATTTAGACTGGGAGAGATGAAGATAAACAACGTTTGACTATCAGGACGGTCACTTGGAGTCCTGCTCAGCATTGAACTCAAGGGACGAACCAATGTTTACATCCAAGAGAGATAGCCTGCCCTCTCCCATCCTGGAGGATTCTTTCTTCCCCTTCTCTTCTTCACTCTCTTCCTCCAGTCACCGGGTCATGGCTCCTACAGTAGGACCAGATGATCTTCTCGCCTCACCTCAGGATGACAGCAGCCCTTCTCTGATGGAAAAAGACCTGATTTTGGCGGCTGAGATGGGCCAAGCTTTGCTGGAGAAAAACGTGGAGCTGGCTGCTCACATAGAGCAGATGGAGAGAGAGATGGAGGTATGAATGAGGATGACTTTGGTCAAAAAAGATGGAGACTATGAAAGTCCCTAAAACAATAACTATAAGTTTTAATAATCATTCTAATTCTCTGAATAAGTCCACATCACACTAAAAAAATCACGACAGAGTATAGATTATTGTTGGAATCACTTTCAAAATGATTTTTTCCAGCCGATAAAAAACAAAAACAAAACATTGACAAGCCAATCAGAATCCACCGACTTTAAAAAGTTCAATTAAAGCTGGAGACAACACAGAAACTGGACGCTCACTTATAAAAACAGAACATTATCTTCCTCTGGTGTGGACACTAATATAAATATAGATATTGATATATTTATCTTTAGTTATCGTTATTGGTGTGAACAGGCCTAAAGCCTATACAGTTACCTTGTTTATGTTTATTTAAATGTGTTATATAACAGTCGTGTACACCACTTAAGTCTGATTTTTAGGGATGCACCGATACCAGGACAAGGGTGTTGGTCCGATACGATACTGTGCTCATGTAGCCTACTCATACTCGTAAAACTACCCCGGTACAACCGCCTTCCGATACCACTTAAAGGGGCCGTTGCATCTAAAAACGCGTGGAAAGCGTGGCTGGACCGTTACCGTAAATAGTTTCTCCTCCTTTCCACAAGCGCTTGGCATCTGTTGTTGCTATGCAACCAATAACATAGGCGCACCTGGAAAAACGAGCACGTTTCCACACGCCTACATTTGAAATAACTACACAAAAAAACAGATAATGTGAACGGCCCCTTATGGCAATGTGACATTAGCCAGAAAGTGAAAAACATCTGATGAAAATAAAACATTGTTAGAAGAACTTTAATGGTATTAAGTACTCATGTCGGTACTTGGTATCGGCAAGTATCCAAATGTAAGTACTTGTAGGCTACTTGTGCATTGCATTGTAAAACATTACAAAAAATTTAAACCTAAATCATTAAAACCCATCATGTCTAAAATGATAACCAGTTTCCTGGTTTTATATCCCCAAATTTGTCAAGTTTACTTTTACGCCTAATTATTTATTATAGTATTGTATTGGAATTTTTATAGATTAGATCTACACTACCCTTCAAATATTGTGGTGTCAGTACTTTAAAAAAAATACTTTGTCAGCAAGGACCCAAACATTTGAACAGGTACATAAAGAATGGAAATTCTGGCGATAGGAAAATACTAAAACACTATGGATTTTGAGTGTTTATATTTCATGCATATCAAAATTATGACATATGAAGCGACAAGAGTTGTAGTTTATGGTGGCTCTTCATTCAGGGGTTTGTGTGGGGTCCTAAATAGTGTTTTGGCTTGTTACAAAAGCAAAACACTTTTTTGGTACTTAAAGGAGAACTCCGGCGAACAATGAACCT